GCAGCTAAGCTAAGCGCTGGACCACTAGAAGCTGCTGGCTTGGTGTGCATTGCTATCGCCCACGGTTTGGCGATTGCCGTCACGGTGGCTGCCACTGCCAACATCTCAGGAGGACATGTGAATCCTGCTGTGACTTTCGGTCTTGCAGTCGGCGGTTACATCACCATCGTCCGTGCTGCTTTCTACTGGATTGCTCAGCTTCTCGGTGCAACTCTCGCTGCTTACCTTCTTAAGGCCATCGTTATCACCACTGGACTGGTAACACCACAAACCTTGAAGCCCTTCGTTCTATGTTTGATAGATTGTCGGCTCCACGATCTTTACTTTTCACAATTCAGATGATGACGATTCCCGGAAATTGAGTAAGTCAGCTGATGACGATGGGTGCTGTCTAATTATCTTGACATTATCAGAGCATGCCGATTCACGGTCTGGGTGCCGGCGTTAGCGTCACAGGAGGACTTATTCTTGAGACTGTGCTCACCTTCGCGTTGGTCTTCGTCGTCTACGCCACCGCTGTGGACGGTAAGAGGGGGCAGATCGGAATCATTGCACCGCTGGCCATCGGATTCACAGTGTTGGCCGACCACTTCATCGGTGTGCCATTCACCGGAGCATCCATGAACCCAGCTCGCTCTTTTGGACCTGCATTCGCCGCCATGGACTTCCACAACCACTGGATCTACTGGGTCGGTCCTCTGCTCGGTGGAGGTATCGCTGGTATCATCTACGACGGAGTGTTCATGACTGCCGAGTCTGACATCAGTACGGAGAACGACTTTTAGGCGGCTGTGGCTCTGGAAATCACCAAACTGTCGACGTCACCAAGTTCATTAGATCTGGCTCTGGCTGTGCATTCATTTTGTATCGTCACTACAGCTTCTGACGAGTCACGATAGTGTTGTCACTGGAAAGCTGATTCTTCGTAGGGATAAGCAGTCATGAGCACTTTGCTTGGTTGTATAGACATGTGAATAGACTGTAGAGGTAAGATTCGCCATAAGACACATCTGGAGACAAAGAAATCACGTTGTGAACTCTTTGGGTCTCTTGACGGTGATTTTGAATTCGGTCCGCTCACCTCTTGTGAACTTATTGCTCTTCAAGACACGGATGCATGTATAAAAACAATCTTTCGAGCTTTGTCCACCACTTGCTGGATTTATTGAAAAAATACTTCCATCACTTCCTTCCTCGCAATATACCGTTATACTCATGTCTTGGTATATTATATCCCACTTATGCTTGGAGTCTGGACTTTGCAGTGGTGCTATGAGCACTGTCACGTACTAAACCAAGTTAGTTTTGAGGATCAGCTCTACACAGTGATGCCTCTTGGCAGTAGGTATATCGAAATTACTTGGTCCAGATATCGTCGGTCTAGTGAGATTGCCCATAAATCTGTGTTGAAAAGGTGGCAAGGTCAGTGTGTAAGGCTCATGCGGCTGCAACATGCGGGCAGCATTTGAAAGTTCTTCGTACGTGGCGGAAATTCTCCATATCGTGTGACATTGCGGTCTGCATAGTCCAGTAACCGGACAGCCAACAAGGCTTCAAGCGTACATGCAATTCTTGTAAGAAGACGGCAGGTTAGAAGATGTCCCCGAACTCGACTGGTACGCGAAGAAACTGGCTGTTCGTCCGAACTCCATATATGTTCCGCCTCCAAAGACCAAGCCACTCAAACGAAAATTTGGATAATTGATGGCTGAGTTCACACTTCACAGCTGACCCATCTTACCAATTCACGTACATTCGCGTCAACCGCATACGGGGAACCCTGAATGTACTTTACCTTTCTGTAAACAGATTTCGATTGGTTGTATCGAGGTCACGATTTTCTAAATGATAGCAAGCTCGTTATAGCAACAATATTCAAGACAATGAGTATAATTTCATCATCTCCGTAAGCTGTCTTCCACGGAAGCTGCCACGTGATAGAATCGAAGTACATGAATGATGAAATTTCACAGTTTCATCTGTACGGTGAAGTTTTGAAACCATGACTCATCACTCTGATCATGATTTGCATCCTTGGCTTTCTGGGAATGTCAATGTCTGCTTCAAAATCTGTTACCAATGTTCAGACCTTCTGAATGTTCGGCAGGATTTGGAAACACAGCCTTCAACGAATGTGAAGGAGCCTCCGCTCTAATTTCATCGTTTTGATTCATCTCATGAGTCGGCGTCATTTTCAAGACGTTCATTGCTAGCTTTAGAGCTTCACATATGACATAAATACTGTCGGCGTCCCTAATCGTCACCCTATAGAAGATTCGTTGTTGCTTCTTCAATACTTTTCGGTGGTAGTCCGCTTCCTTATACTTATGTTTCTTGTGGATTTCGACCTACATCTGAGAACCTGTTTAAGATTATTGTACTTGAACTTTTAAGGAGGAGATATTTAATATCATTTCTCACGTAAACTATTGAGATAACGAGCATGCGAGTGATGGTGACCGCGATACAAACGAGACGAGTTCAGCCTCCGCATATTCTGTCATCCCCTACAGGGCTCTCTGTTCTAGAAACACGTGGACTTGAACCTCAACAAATTCTTATATAAACCACCTAGAAACTCCAAGTTCACTCCTCTGTTGATATCCACAAGAGCAACACTCTTGAAGTTTCAACATGAACAACCACCAACAATCAGTAACTCTAACTCTGCCATCTCAATCCTACGTAGCTCAAATCTTCTATGCACACTACGTAACCAAATATGCTGCAACATCAGGTCTACAACCAAATATAGTCCGAAACAGAATCAATCTATATTGTTTATTCGATTCTTGTCTCAACCCGAATGAAGTCAAACTAGAGTTCGATGACAGCAATAGAAGGTCTGGAGCTTCCCCAAGTCGCCACGCAGGAAATAGTCCAGAGCCTCCAGACCATCTGGTCTGGAGCCATTCCAGGTATTCCACGTGGAAGTTGTAAGTGTACAGCGGGGAGGTTGTCGAGCAATGTCCAGTCGTTGTGACCTCCAGGTTCACGTCTATAGATCACTCCAGGACTCACCTTCACTCCATAAGTAATCCACACTTGCAAGAATCAGTTCGGTACTCTCCTCTAGAACCAAGCCTCCGAACTTCTGAAGGATGTATCGGATTTAATCCTAATAGGAGTTAGTGAGAGGACAAAACGATAGAAAAGTAGGTGAACTTTCCTCGCAATATTATTGTATATATATTGAAATCAATGTCCTGGTAAGCTTTAATACAATTTTGGATCCAGCCACTTGGTATGGCTGGCATGGCTTTGCTAATTCCTACTGGTACTCCGCATCCATAAATAGCTGTCAGTTTACCTTAGGTTCTGACCACAGCGATCTTCACCTGGTATATTGAACCTTTGTTTCTATGTAGAGTGGCCACTGTTTTCTGCGCTGAGGCACAACAATCGACTATCGGTCAGACTGCTGAGGCCAGTTTGCTTGACAAGTTTTCTTGAAGCTTCTCAGATGGCACGCTACATACCTTCTTGTCTATGGCTTGGCCAAACAGCAGTCTTGGTCTCTGTCCGGGCTGAAATGGGGATGTCAAATGTGCGATTCTTGACAGATTGAGGTTTTCTGAACACTTCTCCTCGCACTTGAACTAGAATTCCGAACGTCTATTTTGTGTTCACTTGATATGAACGAATCCTGCACAGCTCGTGCAATAATTTCTGTAGATGGTGAAGGAAAGAGGCCACTTCTTATTCGTCGTTATGGAACGCGGAGTAAAAAGCATATAGGAACCACATCGTGAACATATCGATTGCGTTCTGCAAGACGATGAAGGATCTGGTTGTCACGTTTGACGTTGTGGCTTTAGTTACAGTCGCCTGTGTTTCTACTGTGACCCATGATGGGTAAAAGCGACGAAAAGTGCAGGAAAGGGGAAAGGGCGTTCACTTTGGATGAGCGACGTGACTGTCGCTGCGTGCTTGAGAGGAATCGAAACCGCTCCGTGCAATCAATGGGAGTGACGACAACCAGCACAACTATGTCAGATTGGTTCCTCCTCTGAGGGCCTTCGGTCTTCGAGCACTAGAGCCAACAGTTGAGGGCTACACAGTTTTACACAGTGCTCACTGTCCCAATACAGTCTCGGATTTTCCATATCGTGAAGCGCACCTGGATCACAGGGCGTACACGGATAACAGGGAATGGACCGATGCCCATTCCCTGCTCCCTGCTGAGATGCTGTAGTTATGACTCGGGCGACAGCGAAGCTCATTGGACCCTCCGTCTGCCACCCCCATTGTACAGCGACTTGCATGTTTGCTTGCTCGGTTCCTGTACGAGATCTTGGTTCAGAATCTACCTCCTCAGATTCGCTCAAACAGCTGGAATTGAAAACCTGCGTTCAATCATAGTGTCGACCGCCTTTCCCCGAGCATGTTCAATTCTGCACCATGAATTCATCGGATCCGGCTCACTGCGACAGTTCTGCCCCAGAAGGAGATGGAAAGAAAAAAGAGTTCATGAAAGTGATTGAAATCTACAAAAACAGCCGGCCGCGCGAAAATCTCTATGGGGATAAACCCGGGAAAAGGGAAAAAGGAAGTGAAGAATGCAGAGTCTATATTATTGGCAGATTTCCCCATCCATGAGGAGTGAGTGCCGGGGGCTGCTATTGCAATAGCAGATCACCAGATAACGTACGTAAGCACGGAGAAATCAAGAGGGAGTGCTTAAGCGAAGCGAGCGGTACGGAGGAACAGTCGAAGCACTGGGGAGAGAATACCGGAATGCGAAAGAAGCGAGCGATGATGGAATTCATGGTTTCCGACGTGTACGAGCATCGGAGATGCGTGAAGAGCGTCGAGGGAGTGGAAGGCTGGCCCACTGGCTGGCATTGGGTTTGGCTGCATGAGACACAGTGCGAATCTGGACCGGGCTGGGCTGCACTGCACGATGACGAGGTGATCACTTCCCGATGCCAGTCTCATGTCGCTCCTCGGAGTCCAGGTATATAAGCCCCGAGCTTCGACTGATTTCTCAGAGCAGCAGCAGTTGTAGAGATCTGTCCGTCTCATCTTCTCTCTCTCTCTCTCTCCCTCTCTCCCTTTCTTTAGAGGTTTTGCCCTCTCCAGTCCCGTAGAGAATCAAGAGGCCACTACCATTCTCATCTCAACGATAGTACTCTCTTCAGATTCTGGTAGTACATCTTAATTCAGAAAACATCTGTCACTATGGCTCTCAACGAGATTGCTTTGGGCAGGAGGTCCGAGGCCACTGAGCCTGACGCCTTGAAGGCGGTATTCGCTGAATTCATCGCCACCTTCCTCTTCGTTTTCATCGGTGTGGGCTCGTGCATCGCTCATTGTAAGTGAACTCAGTCGTCAAAGCCCTCCGTTGCTCTGAAGAACTGACATGCATTTTACGATTCGTGGAATTGCGTGACATTCTTGTGTTGTGTTGCATATCGAAGACTGCATCCAGCTCGTATGCTGTGCTCCTCTGTGGATCAGTCGAGAACATACTCGAAAAGCAGTAGCATGCAGAGTCTGCACATCAAATTGCTTTGCTTCATCACGTCTGTTATCTTCATGAATGCATGACTGCTGGTGAGGAGATTCGGATAGAGGCAGTACTTTCCACGTTCCGGAAATCCACGCAGAAATCATAAACAGTGTCAGAAGCACGTGATAAGAATGCGTAGGAAGACAATCTTGCAAACATCTCCTGGAGCCTGCAATGCATCCGTAACGTGACCATCTCACACTCTACATTTGTAAAATCTAGGCGAAGGGTGAGCCTGAGCTGCTGTGGTGCAATTGAGAAGGATTGAATAGTGGTCAATGAAAGTTCAAGTGGATGGAGAATGATGGGTGACAGTAAGCGGTTGTGTATTTGTACCTTTGATTTTTGCAGCAAAGCTAGACTCCGGAGCACTGGACGCTGCTGGCTTGGTCTGCATCGCTATCGCCCACGGTTTGGCAATCGTCGTGACGGTGGCTGCCACTGCCAACATCTCAGGAGGACATGTGAACCCTGCTGTGACCTTCGGTCTTGCAGTCGGTGGTCACATCACCCTCATCCGGGGTGCTTTCTACTGGATCGCTCAGCTCCTCGGTGCCACGCTCGCTGCCTACCTGCTCAAGGGCGTCATCATCACCACCGGACTGGTAAGGGCGAAATTTTTCACCAAGGTTCCTCTACTTTGAATTAGCAGGCTTCAGAATCTCGGCTTTTGGGTACTCTGCTTTGACGCAGCTGCGAAGCGTTGTGTCGACGATAATGTTATCTGATCATGATCGACAATGTCGAATTGTGCCGATTATCACAGAGCATGCCCCTTCACGATTTGGGAGCAGGAGTCAGCGTTACAGGAGGACTCGTTCTCGAGATGGTGCTCACCTTTGCGTTGGTCTTCGTCATCTACGCGACCGCAGTCGACGGTAAGAGGGGACAGATCGGAATCATTGCACCGCTGGCCATCGGATTCACAGTGCTGGCCAACCACTTCATCGGTGTGCCATTCACCGGAGCCTCCATGAACCCAGCTCGCTCTTTCGGACCCGCCTTCGCCGCCATGGACTTCCACAACCACTGGATCTACTGGGTCGGTCCTCTGCTCGGAGGAGGTTTGGCTGGAGTCGTGTACGAGCTCGTTTTCATGACCACCGAGACCGGACACGTCCCCCTCGACAATTCATACTAAGCAGCTGCTGCTGCTACTGCGGCTGTGGCGCTGCAATTAAGAACTTGACTCAACTGAATCACCTGTTCATACAGATCGTGCTACACATTAATTCGCTGCATCATTGTTGCATCCGTACGAGCATGGCAGCTGCTGATGTCCATCGTTCGGCCGATTTACAACAATGAGAAATGCATCGCTGAACCCTTTGCGCGCTTGGTTGTAAAGAAATGTGAATAGACTGTGGAGGTTCTGTTTTCGTATAAGAGAGAACAGAGAGATCGTCAAAGATCTCTTTGTCTGTTTCTTGTAGGTGATTTTGTGAGTTCAGTCCTTACGGCTTTTGCACCAGTTGCTCTGTAAAAATGACCATAAACAGGGCCAAGCCCCGATTTCAACATCAAAAGTTCAGTACAGGTCCAGAATCATCGAGTTTTGATTGTACACCGCACAATGCTTTACTCTTCTTGAATGAATGTATGAATTGCTTGCGTAGATCAAAACATCAATTTCACTTTTCACAGACTTCGAAACCTCTGATCTTTGGAAGAAATCTGATATCGTGGATAATGCTACCAGCTTCAGTGGAAATGTAGGAACATTGTCATTGGATCATCAACCCAAACTTGTCAGATGCAAGGCTGTGATACATGAAGACGAGTCAAACCGACGATGACACAGGGCCAAACTCGACCGTACCTATGATCCACTACACCGTCAAATTTGAGAAATTATTGTCTAGTGACGAAAACTCCTTCACTTTTTCACTCTTCAACTTTCTGAAGTCAATGTCGTGCAAATAAGCCTGTAGAATAAGAGTCCGAACACGTTATCTTTATTAACGGTAAGACTTGCAAGGCTGGTGAACGAGATTGAGTCGATGTCCCTGCCTTTTCTCTTTGTGTCTCTGTATGAGAGTTACCTCGTTGGCTCATTCGGATAAATTCGATTGTGAACTCATGAAAATGTTGTCCTTCACATAACTTCCTGATCACAGTCGACTTCTCGCCATCCAGATTTCTCCGAGCATGGAATTCTAAAGTCATCTGCAAGTGGAGCTTTTAGATCCAGAAAGCTAATGCAATTTTAAATTACCTGCTCTGAGTGCCTAGAACGAGACATCAGATAAAATAATCCAAGAAAAGTTAGCGATTCTGTTATTACAGTGAATGAAGATTTCATCTGGTTCAGTACATTCCTCAAACAAGAGACCAAATCAGAAAGCATCCGCTCTCTTTTTCTTATAATCGACGGGATCTAGCGGATAAGATTGACCGCAAGGGTGGATCAAATTGATTACATGTGCAGTGATACTTCTCTATTTTCCAAGTTGATGCCATGTCCCATCTTCAGAATATTCTTGCACAAGTCTCATATCTTTTACCTGCAGCTTCAAGTCTGCAAGACCATCACGAGCAGGAAGATGAACCAGTACTTCGGCACTAGATATCAATATCTTATGAGCTTCCCCGAACTTCAAAGCGGTCAGATCTTCCATCAGATTGCTCTCCCACCAGCCATCATCATCAGCCAGCAATCGACTCCCGTTCGTTTGGTCCGAAAAACCGACGAGGGGTGTGATAGGGCAGGGGAACGAGGCAGAATTCGCGGCCTGGTCTCTTCTCCCTCTGCGAATTTCTAAGGAGTTGTGGACACCATCTTTACTTCGAACACGTCATCGATGCTAATTATTTAACGCAGTTGTTGTGATTTTCAATCTGCTGTCAATAGTCCATCAGACAGGACAACTCTTGTTCCAGGCTTATCTCGTATAAAGACCTCTTCGAACCAACTGGCACGCAAACTTTCCTCCATCTGCCTTGCCTACCGGTCGTAACGAGATCGAAATCATCATGATTCTGTGTAGCATTCTGAGAGCAAGGAGACTGATGGTTTGGCTTCTTATTATTACCAGGCAGCGAACGGTCTACAATTGGAGAATGGCATATAACCAGGACAAGACTGAGCTAGATCTGTGGAATGGCAGCTACTTTAGGCTAATTCAAAACACCTCCACCAAATCGCTTCGAGCAAAATGCTTTGTCGAATGATTTTGCTCTACCATATAGATGATAATCTCGTAAGGAAAGTGAGTGAGTAGTAGTATATGTCGTCAGTTTTCGGATGAATAGGGTTTTTGGCGAAGTACATGGACTGTATGTATCATGGGAATGCATTATCTTCAAATAGCTTCACCTGCAGCCTCAGAACTACATTCAGCAAGCATAGCAACTACATTCCTAAAGCATATCAACAAATGGAATGTAACGTGCAAAGGTGAACAGTCTGCGTGGATCAGTTACAAGAACCATCATGATATTTATACGAAACGATATTCCAAAAATTGCGCTGGATAGCAAATTCATTCCCGTCTTAAATACGGGTTCGAAAACGCAAAGCTTTTCATTAAAATGAAAATTCAGAAAGCTGATCACTAAGGAGCACACATTACAATTCAAGCAGTGGAGATTGTCTTGACGAACGTACTCTTCACCTAGATTATCTCTAATTTTTCAACTGTTAGCTTGTTGGTGGACGAAAGTCAGCAATATTCTTCATTTGTTTTTGAAATGGGTATTCTCAATATCAATTTAATTTCATTAAATTGAATGGCCATAACATTCAAATGTGCTTCTTTGTTTGCTACATCTGCATACAATCTTTCTTCTGTTTTAATAATTGATGCTTTATTCCTGCAATATCTGTTTACGGTACAGAATGTGAAAGTAGTCGAGTGCATTTGTATCCTCGACTGATGTGGATTTATTAGCAAAACGCACAGAAATTAATATATATTAAATTGTGAGATTTGTCTCTAAAATTTACGAGTTGATGGAATAATAATATACTATAGTACACATTGTGTTGGTTATTTCATCTGCTAGAATTGACTACTTTTGGACCGGTCAGTGTAGAATGTGTTTCGACAAATTTGTTTCGAAGAAAGTTTCACACACATTTTACAGAAGCTTTATCGGTGTTATTTAGCCCAGATTATAGTCTTCATCAGCTTTAGTTTGAACAGTAATTTTTCGGTATCTTCACGTGGATGGGCGTATTATCCCCAAAATCTTGCGGAAAAAAACCCACTCATCCTTGTCAAGCGGGGCGATCATAGTTGTGACATATTATGCAATGAAGTGGTTGTCACCTTCTCAGCGTCGCCAAACTATGTTCAATACTCTGCTACAAACATGCATGTTGCGTCAGCGCAATTACCATGAAAGTAAGAGTCAGGACTCGATGCAAAGCACGTACGATACTGAGAATTAATGTACATGCTCCATTATGATTGAAATTACAAATTATCCAAAGAAAGCCCTTCGTTTGACAAACGAGAGACACTGGTAGGCCACACTTTTTACACGTTTTTTACCTTCAATTGACAGTCTACTATTTCACATGAATTTTCAATCTGTTCACGCAGTGTTCCTTTTTCATTTCACCCAGTCCCATCTCTCACATTCTTCTCCACTGTCTCTCCATGGTGAATCCTCTAGTCCTCTGAGCGGTTGTACGTATTCATAATTGATCGATACAGCTTCACAGCAAGCCAGCAATCATTATACTTTTTCCCCATCAGTTTGCCTGTCCAGACATTAAAGGTGAGCACTCCAGTGTTCGCATGCCTACCCCTGATGACGTCTTGTGATCAGACGTGAATTTCGTTCTTCAGGAGTAGAGCTGACAAGGTCCGAGTGTGCAGTTCAATAATCGACCGATTTCAATTAACTTGGGAGATTTTCCTTCTTAACTGGACTACATAACCGACTTCACCGGCGAGCACCCTGCTCAAGGAGCCCTTCAAGTTCCCTCCTCTTATCTTCCAAGTCCTGTTCGTGACAACCGCAAGAGAAGAATTATTTCAAGTCACCCACGACATCAAGACATTCGAAACTGAGATCGATGAGCCATAGAAGATCACGGGCAGAAAGTCAACCTCAAGAAATTTTGAATGGTCAATTACAATACCTGCAGATCTTTCACTGCTTGCTCACGCCATTGCCTCTTTTGAATTCGTTTGGTCTTCAGTTGCCGCATGCACAAGATTCCCTGAAACAATTGATGAACCACGAGATTCAGGTGGTGCAGAAACTTCGTACAATGAAAAGTGAACTGGATAGAATGATCCACCCGATTTCGACATCTTCAAGGCCTTATATATTTTCCGTTTCTAATTACTTCTCCACTGGACAGAATCTCGGAGGTACTGGTTCACACACACTTCAAGCTAGAACTTTCTCTTTCCTTCCAGAAGAATGAAGCAAGTCAGCCGAACTCAAGACTAAGAAAGAACTGGTAATCTGCCTTGAATAATCCCTTGGCCATGTGACTTACAGCGAAGGTATATATAAACCCACAACCAAGGAGCATCCAACTTGCGATGTTGTGCAGCAATCTTTCGAATCGAACCTCCCAGCTCACACCAGCTAGTGCCTTCGTCATGATGGCGACACTGAAAGTAACGGAGAGACATCTCGTTAGAATCTCGTGAAACAAAACGACTAGGAAGTTCGGAAAGATAAACAAAATTTAAGCGGAATTTCAAAGACATGTGAACAGGTCAACATAGCTTACAAGATCTGTAGCATCCCTCGTCCCACCCAAACTTCCAAGAGCTGCAGGTGATAAACGATGACTTTGTTAAAACGGAGTGCAAACTCCGCGGGTAATTCAAGCAGTCAGGGGGTCTAGCTGCGGGAGTTTCCCGCATTCCACATCAGCTCGACTGATAGCAGTGATTTCAGCAACTGTACATTAAATCCATGTAAAAATGCAACGCAGAAAGGAGTAAACTTCAAATTACCACCCACTTACTGTGATATAAAATTACCACCAGCACATCTCAAAACAGCAACTATTCAGATGCCACATGCATGATTTGTACAGTTACACGTTCATGACAGCGAAACTTATGAGAACTCACCGGCCAATGACGAAACACCCATTGCCACTCTGTCTCGGCGATTGCAACGAAAGCTGCAAAGACGACTGCGTAAATTCGCAAGATGCCGACAAATATCTATCACAGAGCAATCACGTGTTACTCAAAATGCTCTGTTGAGAGAAGTGATCCATGTTTCTCATTTCCAACCTGCATGTTGAAGAACATTATTAAAATCAAATTTCAAAAGGCAAGGTTCTGAAATCCACACGAAGCCTCGCTTACACCCACCTAGAGTAGGTTACACATGCACTTCTTAGCACATCAGTGAACGAAGGCTAGGTAGTTCTTCCTACAACTCGTTTGCCATCTAATTGAATGACTTCACGCTGATCATCACCAAAACTTCCTCTCGAGCACGATTTTGACAGAACAAGGAACGCCAATTATATTTTGATTTATCAGAGATAAATCGTTTCCTTGCATTGTTTTCGAGTACTCTAAATCGGAACTAAATAGTAAAATCAGGGTATCCGTTGTTCGTTACAGTCAAGATACAAACTAGAAAGACAAGCGTGCGAGTCTAAGTTGGTTTCATTCACACCCAATTTTTGCAGGTGGGTGAGTTTCAGGCACATGATCTAAATCGAGTTATTCGACTTTCTAATGAAGCCAGAGAAGAAGAAAATGTTCTTTTTTATTGGAAGCCACGCGATGCAGTGACTAGAAGGCAGATCATCTCTGTAGCGATTCTACTTGAAGGCAATCGACACCTTGACGGAGATACAACTTCTCACATCGTACGGTCTTCCAGTTCAAGAAGTCCGAGGCATGCACGCGCACAGAGTGTAATAAGTGCATGGAACTGAACGACAAGCTGATCACGAATCTGAAAGACGAGACGGACAGAACATGACCAGCACTCACCTCGACTTTCCACCTGAAGGAGCGGAGAAGAGAAACCAAATTCACGATCATGCACGTGAGAGCGGAGAGGGCAGTGATCACAGTCAGAGCTCTGAACATCAGCAGCGCGGCATCCATGGCCTCCGGGCGCTCAGGCTCGTCCAAGTCATCGTCGGGATCATGAGTGTGGCGATAATCACCGACATCGACCGGGATTTGATGATGATCAGGTTGAAGATCCTCCTGCCCCATACTCGCTTGCGTTACCAAATCTCGAAACGGGTTGCGAGTGTGAACTCCAAATAATTTCTGCTGTCCTCTGCTGTCCTCTGCTGTGACTGCCTTCCTGCCTTCCTCGCTGCGCCCTTCCCCAATCCTCGTACCTCCCGACAAAGAATCACTTTCAAATATCGAAGATACGAGGTTTTATCGATCGATCTGCGCAGCGATCAGTTCTCTTGCGCACTCAAGAATAGACGACGCATGAGGACGTGGCATTGACTTCATAATCAGCAGGACAGGTGGCGGGCATTCAACCCTGTTGGGACACGCGTCCTCGGTTCGTGATGCAGTGGCTGGCTTGGCCTCCGAAACTCGGCAGAAGTTGGAGGGCGATGATCCGCTCGAAATCCGCCGACGCTGCCCAGCGAATGTCGTCGACTGCTTGCCCGCCGCATCCGTCCAGCGTCCATGGAGGGATGGATGGATGGATCCTCGTCACCCGAGAGCCGTTTTCCGCTTGCCAGCGGGACCACAGCCACCAATCGGGCTCTTCCTCGGAGTGACAGCGAGCGGGAAATGACCGTTCCGCTCGCCTGCTTCACCCCGTTCCGTCCGTCGCTGTGTGCTCGGTAGCATCAATCCCTAATCGACTGTTGGGCTTTTCGTGATGTGACAGCCAGCGGAAAGAACTTGCTCTACAGTATTATCTTGACACTCTGTTCCCTCTGTCGCTGTTTGGTGGATCCACTGACGTTACAACTGGTCGTTCAAGTCCAGCTGGTTGGAGAGGACGTGGATATATATCCACTGAAACCACCAAAGAATACGGATATCCGACGATGTAGACAAAGATTAGAATAACTCCCAAATATAATCAGAGGGCTAGTGTTCCACTCGAGTTAGTCTCCTTAGTAGAAGACGAAATGTTTCATTCAACTGGATTATCTGGTTCAAATTAGTTACATAAATTATTATAAAAACATCCAAGAAGCCGTCAATTGATGTGATAATTTCTCATCAGTATTAGAAACTAATTCTTTGTACAAATCAACGTGTATGTAAGACGTAAAATATTATATATATCATGTTTAAAGTAGAAAAATTTTAATGGTATGATTTTGAAAATGAACCATATCTCCGTTTTTTTTTTTAAATGAAGAAGAATACATGATTCTAACTCAAGATTGCTGCTGTGCATATCAACATTCATACGTCTTATCACAAAAAACTTTAGGTTGCCAAAGGTGTTTCAACTTGTAATTACCTATTTAAACAAAGTTGTTTGAGCTGTACATTCCCTATTCTATTATGCAAACCTCGTATCCCTGATGTCATGATAGATAGCTATTCTCCACACTACAACAACTCATATCGAATATTGTTGTATCTAAGTTGAAACTACATTCGATGAAGAAACAAACGGGTGCATCAAGCACAGGCTTAACCTCTTGGCTAAAAGAAATGTAGAATGATATGGTCAAAGATGAAAGGATTTTATCCCATGTCAAAATCCTAATGAAAAAATTAATTAATTAATTTAGTTAACTCAGGTTTTCTCCACTAAGAATAGTATTACTCTAGTTAGTAGAGTTAGTAGAGTATGTCACTATATGTCACTTCTCTATTACACAAACTTAGGGTTTCTAAATAAAGCATTTATAGACGAACCCTCCATGAAGCTGAACCAGATATCTTGTCTCTCGACTCTTTCTTTGTTCTGTAGTGTATGTGTGTGCCGACTATGAGTTATGCTTTCTAAACAAAAACTACCTAGAATTTAAACTGATCTCAATCTTACTCAAGTTTTTACCAAAATTAATCACTTAAAAAATTTTTGAAGACATCACGACTCATTTCAGGTTTTGCATATAAATACAGGTAGAATAAGAAAAAATATTACATCAATCATTTATATGATTTTATCTATCTTGTTAGCATTTATTTTTAGTTATCTCTAGTTTATAGAATGATATAATTAAATTAATCAACGTTGCTTCAAATTTTTTTTGTCGAATCATCATATAGATTATGAAATTTAGAATTTTCAAGACATGTGTCAAGAGGAGATTGCTAGGAATTTATTTTAACTTTAATTTATTTAAACTTTTTTAAATCATCAATCTTTCATGACATAAGAGAGTTAATTGTAGTTCTAAATGAAACATGTTAAAGCTTTAATAAATTATTCTGGATATTTTGTGGATGTAATCTAACCAAAAACAGACACGCACCTTTTGTGTCAATTAATTGACAATGAAAGTTGCTAGGAATGTAAATGTTGATATCAAATAAATCATCATGAATTCATATATTATATAATCAATATCTTATATTATATAATTTTTTTCATCATCTCACACTTTCGTGTCAAAATTCATTCAAATCAGATGTAAATTAAATGCTATTTAAAATTAAATAAAAAAATCTGATTTACAAATGATTTGATGAAAAGTTTTATCAATTTTGCTTAAAATCGATGATGAATGTTCATTTGATTCTGATTTAATTTGACTGAATTATTGATTTTTTTCAAATCAATAACCAGTCTTAAAAACATAAAATCATCTTTTATTTTTCATTTGGATGCCTGAATTGATTTCATAATTATCTTAAATTTTTCAAATGATTATAAAATTTATGTTTAGTTACTATATTTTATTAAATTTAAAATTTAAAAATATCAATATTTAAACAACGCTGAAATATCAAGTATCACTCTTTTATTCCTTTGCATTTGTTATTATATTTGACCTAAAAATTTATCAGATATCAAATTCACATTATATCAATATAATATCTTTATGCTTCATGATATGAATATAAACAACAGATAGTTTTGATATGAATATTTAATAATAGCAGTTATAAATAAAATGTTTTTGATATCCATCCGATTAATTAATCTAAATTTTCTATTTATCTCTAATAAAAAATTAGAAGCTTTTCAAGTATATGAAAATTGAACTTGCATAAATAATAACTGATAAATTTCTTATGTGTTATTTTGAAAAACTAAAGTTCGCAACAATTTTATCACTCTTAAAAATTGGTAGGTTTGTGTTATGCCATAAGTTTATGGTAGATCCTGGCTATAATGGCTCCATTAGACATCATTGGAGATATAATATTCATCTAATACTAAGCAATGATAAAAATGACTCGAATTTTTTCATAATATTACACTTTTACACAGCATAAGGACATGGTTATTTATACTCAATCATATGATACTTAAAATCACATCATTTTTGCTCACATGAACCGATTGTTTACCAGAACGAAGTAAATTGAATGGAGTCGCAGTGCTAATCGAGTATCCAATTTACTCCTAGAGCAACCAGACCAGGTACAACTGGATGAAGAAACGAATCTTTACACAAAACGTCAAATGCCAAAATCACTTGACAGACGTGAAGCTCCTCCCTTCACTGGTGGGCTCAAGTCTTAGTACAACAGCAGATTGGTACAATTTGCAATTATTCCTGGAAACGAACTTGACGAAAATGTCAAACGGAGTGTCATTCTAAGACAGGAAAAACTACCTTACTTGGTGAACAAGGAAGGACCTACCATGCGAGCACGAATGACACGCGGGAATATATGAGCGTCCCTATTTTGTCGATATCCTGAATCGGGGTGGAGAAAACTTGGGACTGGTGCAGCGGAGGTAATTAATGATCTCAACGTTCGAGAGAACCCCGTACGGTGCCGTCACCCCAGTACCGCATTTGGCTGCAATTCTCAGACTCCGATGATGATGATGATGACGATGACGGGGAAATGATCGACCTCGTTCAGGCGAGCGCGAGTTCTGCTGCCTCGGTTTCGTGCAGTTCGAGCAAGTGTCGTGGCCAGGATTGCGCCGCGATGACGAAGTACGCGTCGTTGCTCTTCGTTGCGAAACCCGCTCTCGTCAACGGTCCTGTTGACACGAATGGAGGCCTGTCGAATTTGTCCCCTTGTCAGCTGCCCGCGAAATTCTTCGTTCATGAATGAGTCCGTCGTCTCGTCCCAGTTTAGAGATTATGTGAAAGTAATCGACAGTGAAGTCTGATGGCCACCGACGTTTCAGCGTGCTGATGGAATGATGAGGATTTAGGGTTCTGCGTTACTCGTGCTTCACTTTCGGTTTCGTTCACCATTGGGTTGAGTCGAACGACGGCAGGAACTCCAAGTATGTAAAATTGTTATTCATCGTGTCGTCAGCTGTGAGGAAAGTCTCTCACTGCCTAGCATATTTCGTGTTCTAGGATTCCCTGCGATGGGAGGAGTTGAGGGATATCAGAGCCTCTAATTCAGAAACTCAAATCTCCCAACAGCAATCCGATTTCTAGGGAATGGCGTATCCTCCGGCTCTCGTGAGCGAGCAACATCCCCTGGTTTGTTCCTCGCTCACTCATACTTTGAGACCAAGAGAAGAGGGTTTGTCCTTTCGTTGACAGGAAGCTCATTTCACCTTCACTTCCAGAATGCTGTCATTCTGGAAGATCCGTGACATAAGTATGCAGGCAGAGACGACTCCAGTAACCGATGAGCGATTTATTTGGATGCAGGAAGTGCACTGGGTGTATGGCTTCTCGAATACTATCACGAATGGAGTAACAGACTTGAGAACCGAGATGCACAGCCATACCGTGGGCTATATAGCGGGGACTGTGGTTGTCCTGTTCGATATATGGTCACACACCCAGGTGCAGATCATCGTCTCTGTAGATGAGGATCGATCTGTTGCCTTTCAGCTTGTGGCTCAATTGCTGGCTCAGACGCGTACACTGTCCTGGCCGAGACTTGACTCCGCTACCACCGTATCTAATGACAGAAAATTCTTCAAGGTCACGTCCACCAGATCCAGTGCATTGCGGCCACTCCTGACAAACGTGTGCTGCTTTCTTCTGACTGTGGCCCTGAGGCTGCTCTCATAATGTGGGATGTGATCTCCGGAAAGGTAAAACCTTCTGCACTCATGACTGGAAGGTCCTTCACCCTTTCCCGGGAGAGAAAGGGCGATCGGTCCTTTCAAATCAATCATTCATCAACGTCCGGCCCGAACACCACAAGCACTGAAAATTATGATTGAACCGTATAATGAAATTACCACTCCATGTCGGAACAGAAGATGGCAAACCCTCTCTTCGATTCCATTATCCTTTGATGCCCTGAACACAATCCGCCCTATGCAGGCCCTGAAAGCAATATCTCAAGAACGAACGGCTGGATTGATGGCGATGGATGTTTCTGCAAATGGGGCTTATATTGGTACTCTAAGCTCTATATGTAAGTTACTCCTGTAGAGTTTCGAACAATAACGGCATGCCTTAAATTGCAGAGTTACCATCCTTCACATCTGTCTGAACTCAAATAACCGAGAGATTTTTCGGGATCTGCTCTGACAACTCTTATTGGAGATATTTTGATAAATCGCAGACTGATGGTCGCTCTTAGCTTTACTCAACTGGGGGTGTGTACTTTTCTGTGTGTGGTTATTTTGTAGTAACAGGACCAATACAGGAGCTTAGCATCTGGGATACCAAACTCTCCAACAATCGCCCTCTGGCTACCATGGCCATACAGTCAGATGACGTTCAGGTCAGGACATTTTTTATTCTGAAGTCCACATCTCCAGACTTCCGAACTTTTCCTTCGAGGACAAACAACCACCTCGAGTTTTATTTACAACTCAAGCTCACGAGCCTGTTTCCGTCTTCCGTCTTTTCATCAGTACCTTGCTCACAGCCAGTACATTCCTGCAATTACTATCTGGGAGATTGTCGCAAAATGATTCTCCATATTGAATAACCCTGTGCCCCAGATGAGTATTGAAGCTGAATGAGGAAAATTCAAGGTTCAGGAACTGAGAGACTGTACAGTAGGGACCTCTGTAGGTATCCCAGATCAGTCTTTAATATACGAATTCCTGATGATCGAGGAACATTGATTTCACCCGATGACACGACTACCTTACTGCAGACATGCATACGCTTCAATGGAGGTGATCATGACGAGCTGATCACAAATGGAAAGTTCCGAGTATTCGTGTGGAAGCATTCAAAGGTTTGTCCACATAATCTGTTGTCGAGGCCTTCATATACGATATGACCCCCTTCTCATCTAATACATCGTAAGATGGGCGGGTTGCTGTTACTGATGAGCTGACAATCCCGACGGACTTTATCTGCCACGTTTTGTATCGAGCTAGATATCACTGAATTGATCGACACGTGTTGGAAAATTTCAGAGTACTGAGACAGGTGCAGAAGAGCATTTCCTGAACTGTCAAGAAGGAGTAATAAGACCCTATGAACTGAAGCAAAATGTTGGAGACTTTACTCTCTCTCTCTTCCCCCCAGCTACGAATACTGCCATGACAGCCACGGTCGAAGGCGATGTCGTTATATGGCATCAGGAACGGTAAACCACAGCAGAAACACCAATCCTTCATTTTCACCAGAATCTCACTTCCCAGAAATCAACACCAAGAAAGATATAGCAAAAGGGACGGAAAGGCCCCGTGAAGCTGTACATTTGATGCCTTTGAAGAAGCATAAGATTCCTCTCACAGTCTCGCGCGAATATGTACTTCACCAGTTGGGCCTTCGTGGGAGACGTCCAATTGACATGCATTCATCCCGTCTTTCTTCATGTCTTGTCTCCAATCGGCCTTCTGTAGTGATGGAACTTTCAGCAAACCTTGAACGTCCTGAGTTGGTGGTCTGGATTCAGAAACGAGGAAGAGGATTATGCGAGTCAAGAGGAGAATCAAAAGAAAAGTACAGATGCCAGGGTTATGCATGCACTTAAACTGGTTCGGATTCACGGGACAGCAATCACAGCGTTCGCAACGATAGGTCGCTATATCGCTACAGGGGATGAGCAGGGGTTTCTGAGGTTTTATGATAATCGACTTGGCCTCGTTGGCTGGCTTGAAGAGCTTAATGCAGGTTCATATGTGTATCACTGTTGAGTTTGTCTGTGTGATGAAATGAGATGAAATGCATCGAAAGCGTGAAATTGAACTATCAAGAGCGTTATGGATCTTGGGACTACGATATTTTACACTACTTGCACATTACATGACCATTTCCAGTTTATCAGCTCTGGCGTCGGGGCGGGGAACGTGAAAGGTTTTCTATTTTACTGAACATCAAAAGTAGAAGGTGTTTCAACGGAGTTCATCTTCCGAAATCCAGTTCAAAAAAGTCATGGATAATAAAAGAAATGGAATTATTGTCGTTAGGCATGACGATTATTTGCCCGAGTCTCAGTCTGAATCTTCTGTGGTGTAAACTGTGTGGACTCATATCGTGAACTCTGGACGAACGAAATGGACAGGTGGACTTACATCAATATCCTTCTCTGCACTGGAGAACAGGATGGATTCTGCTCAGCTCACGATTCACGTGCCCCCGTTCGTTGTGGGCACGAAGAGTGCCCACATGAGACTTCTTCATGCTGGTCTCTTCGAAGAACAACCAGGAACTTGGCTTTGTAAGGTGTGAACTCACCCACATGCCACCTTCCGAGTCAATGAAGGAGACGAATCTTTATATTTGTCACGTGTGCTTAGAGTCGATTGAGGTGTTGCTGACAAAGTAACTGTGCCATCGAGCATTACAGGGTGAGCAGGTGATGAAGCCCATGCCTGGCGTTGTGGGGACAGTTGCAGCTCATCCTTCGAAATCATGTTTTGCCCTTGTCGGGTATCCCAGTCTTCTTCAAGTAAGATCTGCGGTTGGTTCTGGAAGCAATGTTTTGGAAGTTGTAACTTGAGTGCGTAAAGCTTTTGACAACGATTGGAAATTACAGATCCAGGACTACACCACCAAAACAGTCATCAAGGAGAGAGAGTTCCCCAAGATCCTCAAGGTACTCTCGAACTCAAACATCTAAATCTGCTACGATACTAACATTCATGTTCAATTCATCAAGCTCCTCCACCCCAGAACCTTCAGTAAAACCTCTTAAGTCTCTAAATAATGGACGAGCTATCTTGGTGCTTTCAATAATTGCCTAAAACTCAAACAGCAGTGTTGGGTTGAGCCCAAGACTGCTAGTTGATCTTAGTCAGTCAAGTGTATGATAGTATCAAAGTAATCAAGGTACTTAAGTTTATGAGAAAGCTGAAGCTGGGTCTTCCCGTGGATACGAACTTTCTATCCGGACTTCCTTCGCTTTTTAAGTTTGGATCACACTGTCACCATAAACCAAGTTCTTCGCGTAACTGTAAAGCTACAATTACCCTCTACGGTGCAGATTTCTATTATCAATAGTTTACATATTCGAAAGATCAACAAGATTTTGTGTGTATAATACCGTAATACTCTTTAGTAGTAAGTTTATATGCCCTAACATGTCAGCGTCCTGTTTGTCAGATTACCTGTTTGCAGTACTCTCCACTAGGGTCTCTCTTGGCTGTTGGCTTCTCGAACGGCATACTCAAGGCGTGTGTTCCCACAGCAGAACTACTACACCATAGACGCATCTATTGTCTTCGTAATATGATCATTCGATCATACACTTCATGGCTCAAGTTCCATCGTTTCAACACTTGCATTTTCCATTATTTGTTGACCTCCTCGAATGGTTAGCATTTTCTCAACTAGGATAATGTCGTTGACTTTGGATTTCACAGCTTTTGGCGGCAGATACGCTGATTGATCATCAAAGCTTTTCATACACTAGATCTCCCGTCATTAAGGCAAGTTTTGTTCCACAGTGCTATCTTCCAAGATATTCATATTCTTCAAGTCCTCCGTGCCTCCCTCCCTCCCTCCATGCCTTCAAAGTTCTGATTTAATGGATCTCGCGAAGATTGAAACAAACACTATTTTGGAACTCATTGATTCTTAGGTCTGTTCAGGTGGAGTTTTCAAAGGACGGCACCTACATCGCAACCGCAGACAACAGTTGCTGTGTTGCCTTGCTTTATTGCAAGCTTGTCAAGGTGTTCCCTTCAAGCTAATAGAAATTTCTAAGTCCTTGGTTAGAATACAAAATGAAATTTGGCTCCCAAACTTCAGACGTTTTCCGGAGGCCACGTGTGAAAAGCAAGCCTAGCAGAAAGAAACTAGCACTCCTCCACTAAATTTATCACGTTGACGTCCACAGAGAGCATGTTCATCCTTGCAGTACCTTCACTCTTATCTGGAGTGTTGATGCTCACAGTGATGTACAGAGATCAGTTAGTATTTTGTTATACACCATGGCTGCTAAAACTGCTATTCTGTTGCAGGTTGTAGTAGATATTAAAAAAACGCAGTCTATCGTTCGCGATGCTCTACCGACACTTCACGTTTCTTTGCTGGCTGTAAGTTTCTGCTCAACAAATTCTAAGTTTCATAGTTATGGCTTTCTAAATGTGTACACCAAGGACTGTAAATGAATTGCTGCAATTTCTCCCACAGGCTGGTTGGGGGGAACGAGAAACTTAGGATAACCTTGGAAATTTCAGCAGCAGCAATATTCGACTTGAATATTGAACTATACTCTGTGGTTGAAAGAGTGCTAATTCAGTTCCATCCATCGAATCTCACCATTTGATGAAAAACAGGCAGATGAGAAATGGGAGTGCGTTGGTAAATACAGGTCACATGCAAAGTCAATAATTGGTTTAATGTTTTCAGTTGGTGAGGGTGGCGTTAATCGATTGTTCTCCATGGGCCAAGTAAACCTTGAACTCAAACCGTGAATGCTATGCTTGCCTTGCTTGTCTTTGTGAAATGAAGGATGCCAGCCTAAAACACGATGACCTCTTATCTTTCTCTTGAACTTAGACTGAAGTGTGTCAATCTCTACCTGCTACGGCCGTTCTCTGAACATGCTCAGTTGAAAATGCACCCGCTGACCTCACAGCTTCTGATCCTTGCAGGACTGCATGATGATTGAGTACGATTTAAATAAATCCTTTGTGGACACAGGGTTGAAGCTCAAAGGTTCATGGCTCCTCAACACCCTCACTTTGCCAGCTGCTATGACAACATCACTCATATCTGGGGAGGTTCGATTTCTTGGACGAAAACACCTAATAAACATTCATACTTGTAGAACATAGAGTGACGACTCACAGATTACCAAATTTCCTTGAGTCCCATACAACGAATTGGACAACATGATGATATCAAGAAATCCGAAAACAGAAACACAATGTATCGCTAACAGAATCCTGTCAACTACCCAATATGTGCAGTTGCAGGTGATAACTAGCGATGAGGGCTTTAAAGTGAGAATATATGATTCAGAGAGATTCCATAGTATCAGGACGTTTCTTGGGCCAGTCTTTGGGACGGCCATTCATAAATTTTGGCGAATCCACGACCAAACGACATCTAAGGTACAAAGGTCATGCGACGTCTACTTGCTTACATAAGAAGAATAACGACATTAGCTTCGGATACTCTCTAATATGCCAAAGAAAGGTGAAGACATTGGGTCCAAGCATTGAATGATGCGCTGCAGGATCACTTGGTGTATTCAACTAGGGAGGAAGTGATAGGGCTCATGACGTTTCCTTCAGAAGATGAGACACATATTCAATGCATGGGGGTGGTCGCTCATGCTGGTCCGATCGCTTGCATGGAAGTTAGTTTCGATTCAAAATATGTGATCACATGTGGAGGCCAAGACAGGTACAAGCGTTTCTGTAATCCTCAACGAGTTCAACAACGTTCTTCAAAGTTAGTTATATAATCCTGCTAAGCATTCCTCGCTTACATGGCAATTGACATGAAACTGATTAGCGTTTAATTGACTCTGAAAGTATTGTAATAGTGACGCGTGTCAACATCTCCGCATGGGACACATATGCGACTTTAGAACGGCAACATGTAGGTGATCACCTTGGAGTTGATGACGAGACACTGCAGAACATTCAAAAGTGTTTCTTCTACTCTCAAATACGGGAAAAGGTGATGTGACCTCTCATCCCTCTTAAGCATTCTTTGCTTGTGCACAGCAAAAATGAAAACATAGTAGAAGGAAGTGGTGATATGAGAAGGTGAAACCCTGGGAGGCAGTTTACAACATTTTAACATGGTAGATCTACTAGAGCAGGTAAAAAAAGCTTGAACCCATAGCTGAGTGGTGTTAACTAGTGTCTAGTCATTGCCCTCTGAAACTGTGCAGGGCGAAGACACGGTGGAAGAGAGAAACCTTGATCACAGTCTGGGAATCGACCATTTGATGGAGTGCTACAATGGACTCGGCGTGTTTTTCTCCAAATGCGACGTGGACGGGATTTTGGACGAGATTAGCAGACCGCTGTAAGCGCTTCCCCAGTTCGTCTCTCCTTTTTTCACTGATTATATGATTCGTTCATTGTAACTGTCTTTAACCTAGGACTGAAGATTACTCGATTTTGTCTGCAGCACTCGTAAGAAGGAGGAGAGGGCCACACGAGTTGATTTCAACGACTTCTTTCAGACGTACATGGCACACAAGCCCGTTCTTGAGTTCGACGAGATCACGATTCAAGCTGCAATCAATGTACAATATCATCCAAAGACTCTGACATTACTGGTCTCTTCACCTTTGATACTCTTACTAAAATGCACATCATGAACTGCAGGAACTTGGGGCAGATCAAGCAACAGGAAAGATATCCATGGAATTATTGTTGAACACTCTTATCAGTGAAGGGGAAGTGTTCACCAAGTACGTTCTTCTCATGCACTCTGAAGTAGAACTGGTTTCTGATCTCACGTTTACAGTGTGCTGGACATACGTCTCCAGCCTTGCCCAGATAGAGATAAGACTACTCATTTGTCACAGATATAGGCTATAAAATGGCCATCAGTATTTACCTTCTGGTTCCACATATAAGTTTCAAGCATGTGTTTAAAAACCCCAAAACACGAATAGTATCTTCTGTGAGCCCACTTTGTCATTTGTAAAGCCCACGCAAGCTCCATACTGAGAATAACACCGGTATAAGGGATAAATTTCTGAATGTAGAATATACAAAAGTTGAAAGCAGAGGATTAAAACATAAAAACTTCAAGAGCTGGACGATGGTTTCATTTCCAATATATATTCAGCAAACCTGAATGCTAGACGATCGTGGCGGCCATTTTAACATGGAATGTTTCGTGCTCAGGGAAGAACTAGAGGAATGTATCAAGTTATGCACAGAGGAAGACTTGAATCTAGAGTCACTACCAGAAGAGGCAGACGGCTTCTGGATCTTCAAGAACCTCTTGAGGATTGAGACGACAACGGCTGAGAAAACGACCGTTTTTTCCGCATAGTTGGGCAAAAGACTGAGCTGAGAGAATATGATATGCTGAACATAAACAATATTAGCGAGATAAAAAACAATAGGGGATGGATGGCAAAGTCATGTTTCATCAAAAGTCATGTATAAGGACAAGAAATTTTCAGAAGTCTCGGTTCGTAAATGTTACCACGAGATATTATACCGAACAGTTTAGTTAGATCCAAAAAGGGCTTCGGTCAGATAATGGAGATATACCATTGGCAACTGAAAGCAAACGTACAAAATGAGAAAAATAATCAGGAATGATTTGTACAGGCCCAACATATGTAACGATGCATTCTTTCCCAGATACAGTGTCTCCGCCAAAAAATAGACAGACTGACTGCACTACAAAAGAAGAGATGAAATCTCGAAGAGAAACGAATTCTCAGCAGAATGGTTGAAAATATGTCAATGGGATCCATATTGTACCTTTTATACAAGACGGAATGAGTTGGACTGCTGATATCAGCCGTCCCGCTCTCCCACTACAAGATTACATACACGAGACAAAATTTCCATGGGAAAGAAAGTGACTGATTCACCTCGTAACCCACTCAGACGCGGCCTTTCTCGACGCTGTCTGGTCCTACTTGACACCAAGCTGACTTGTGCTTGATATTCTTCTCCTCTCTACAACCTACGAATATGTCCGGACATTAATGCAAGTTCGACAACGATACTTTGGTCGCATCATATGATCCAAGTTGCAAAGTATACGGACCAATGTTCTCCAACATGTTGCCCTCTACCAGCCCAAAAGGAGCAACTTTATTAAAGCCATTCGTATGTATAGACCATTCTTGGCTTGTCGAAAATATGCAGCTCGTGGATCAGCGTCCACATCGACAGTTATCTAGAAAACGCAAAGCATTGACATTGTCAGACCTGCAGTTCCATAAAACTCCGGTTTAAAGTGAACGATCATGCGATAGAAAAGTACGGCTTCAGTGGAGCACAGACGACATCAGTGTCTACTAGCAAAACACATAAACTGTTTAGCTCTGAACCTCAATCAACAAGTGAGTTCTGGGGTACTTCTTTAGTCCTCGTATGGTCGTTGTTGTGGACAGTAGTCAGATAATGAGCTGAAATTGCTTACCTCGTCCAGTCTCGGCAGAGGGTGAAGAATCACGGCATGTGGTTGCAGAACCTCCATAACCTTGCTGTCGACAATATACTTCCCCCGGGCTTCGTTGTAGAGGTCTATTCTATCACCGAAGCGTTCTCTTTGTATGCGTGTTTGATAAACAACATCACACTGAGAGGCAACGTCCATTAAATCAGCTGATTCCTCCCAATCAACATTCCTAGAATCGAGATACTCCTTAATGTCGTCCTGTAACGGAAGAGTTCCAAGAAGATTAGAAATCGGATTGATTGGTGAAACTTCAAAACTGAAGGATATATGGAGACCGACACAACACAACCCTCTAACATTTTTAAAGGTGATGAGCTTGAGGATCGGATAATGACTGCGCTCCTTCGAGAAACCGCTCTGATCAGACTCAAAATCATTCTCAGGAGGCAGAGGATATCCAAGAGTGTGGATATGGACAAAGTTAGCACGGAAGAAGATAAAGACACACAAAAAGGATATCACAAAGAGGAAAGTGAATGAAACAAAGAGCATATACGTATTATCCAGGTGCTGAACCTATTTTGGATGTGGGACTAAAGACCTGCTTGGGAAAGGTGAATCCGAGAAATGGACATGATATGGCTACCTTCATTTTTACAACATCAGGGGAGACGAAGAAAATTTTCACGCCACTGTATCTTGCGAGCAGATACGCAAGGGAACGGACAGTTCGCCCATTTGCAAGATCTCCCACTAGACCCACTTTGATGTTGTCCAAGCGTCCAATCTCCCTTTGAATGGTATACATGTCCAATAGAGCCTGTTTACAGTCAAAATTCAAAATCACGTATCTTTTGCAGAATGAATTACAGCGATGCACTCCTCCCTAGCCAAATCTTGTCCTTCACTTTCGCCTGTAAATAAAGGCCAAGATTTGCGATCTGGATCCGCCACATCTCAAAACCATACAGCAGAATATACACCATGAGTTCGGTCTTATCTTTAGATATCAGCAATCTTGATGCAGTTGACAATCTATCAGAGCGTGTGATGAAGAACGGGCTGGGAGAATGAACTGCAGAACTTTTTCGTGCCCCTGATACTTGAGTCCAGGGAAGAGCCACATAAAAGGTCACCTGCGTAGGATGTTGGCCAGGTCCGTCGCCCGCGTTGATGACAGGAACATTGGCCACTTCAGCAGCCCGTTTAGCTGCCCCACTGTCAAAATGCCTGAGCACTATAAGATCTGCATAGCCTTCTACAGTCCTGATAGTATCTGCGTTTTCACAACCCATGTTCAGAATGATGGACTCTAACAAGGCAGACTCAGAAGATGGCCATTCGTTGGTATAGACAGTAAGCATCAGAGCCACAAGTCAGCCCATAATAACTTTGTAAAACCTTCACTTAAGCTAGATTGATAAGCCATGTTGGAGATTGGAATCGAAAAAAACCTTCCAGAGTTTCTCCCTTTGCAGCGGAAGAAAATTCCCGTGCATTTTCCGTTGTCAGAACCTCCCCGCCCAACCTCTTCATGGCAGATTCAAAAGAAAGGCGAGTACGAGTAGAAGGTTCGTAGAACAAGGTTGCCATCAGAAACCCTTCCAACACGTGTGTTCTGCTCGAATCCCTTTCCTTCTCAATTTCTTCCATTTGTTGAGCTACTTCAAAAATCGAGTTAAGAAGCTCTCGATCAAATTGCTGTGCTTCCAAGACATCTTGCAACGGAAAGCTCGTTCCAGCCAACGGTTTTTCAGCTTCCTCTGTGGAATGCAGAATGCTAACTGCGTCTTGACTTGCTCTGTACAACTGCTTCCTCGGAAAGACCCGCTTATTGCTCGGCAAAACCGTCCGTGTAGACGTTGAAGCCTGAGAAGTGAAACTTGTTCGGGAACAGCTCCGTGGTCGGAAAGCTCGAAGGTCTGTATCATCGGCGACATGTTTAGGTGCTTCAATCATGCACTTCTTTAGTAGATTCTACCAGGACAACGACGAATGAGTCAATTCTTAATCATAAATCAAAAAAATCCAAACCACCTAGAGAAACAGATGACACGTCAAAAAATGATGGAGATTACCCTGCGAGCGCAAATGGCTGCTAGTATCGATATGACCGTGCTGTCAATATGACAATTTACGCTGGACTGGGTTGGGGAGATAACTCTTACCTGGTGGGAAGGCTGCAGATGTAGCGGGTAGCACTCGCAACGAGGCCATCTCCATCTTCCAAAAAGATCAAGGACGAATCCTAAACCAAAGAGGTCCATATCATCCAGAGTGTAAGCGTAATCTCAAAACGGAATCTGCAAGAATAGTCGGAGGCATGCCATCTGACTAAACGGAAGACTCCACCACTAATCTACGGATTGATTTCATATTTGTTTCAAAGTCGTTTATTCCATGGTCTCGGTGTAAATGAGTGTTAATGCTAAATATAAAACATCTCACGTGACATTAAGTCACCAAAGAATCATGTACTATTTGACACAGAGGGTGGTGCACTCGGGCCATTCAGGTGGATGTGGGGACTCAATTCTCTCACCTACAGCTCCCCTATAAGACCTAAAGGCAGAACCGACTGGAAGCAGTTTCACAATCTGGGCTATAATTTGCCAAAACGAGTTCCAAACAGCTTCCTTCTCGATGGTAAAGAAATTCGCAAGCCAGCCTCATCGATTCTTTTCGAAGATAGGCTTAATGTACACGATCCGGATTTTGATAATTCATCGGATTTGGATGATTACGATTGATTCGGATCACTGATCGATCATAATCTGAACTCTCCCACATCCCAACTTCACGGGCAAATCCCCGATGAGGAGTTCGACAACCCAATGCAAACTACAGAATATTTACTAACAAACATTCATTCACCAAGATAGATGCTAAGCAGTCAGTCCGATACTCAAGATTTAGGACCAGCCCCCTTCCTACGATTCCTGCAAGCGATTGATCTAAAAGAAAAACAAAATCTTTCGGATAATCTTTCGTATACTCTTTCAATGCGGACATTCGAGACACTTGACAATATTTCGCAAGCCTCATACCTGCCGGAGCTCAGATGAAAAACCCGTGCTAAACCCTAGTGTCAGAAGAAACAGCTCTTTCCACACAATCCACAAATCCTGCACGCCTAAATCAACAAAAGAACACAACCTTCGCGTCAAAACCAAGCCTCGAAAACCACAACATGGCCCTCCCTCCACCTTTCAACTCAACTCAAAGCCCTCAATTCTCTCAAAGCGCAAAAACCAATGGTGTATAATCGAAGCAGGATCGGAGTCAATTACAGAAACACGACCTCAGCTCAATCGCTCGAAAAGCAGTCAATTTTCCGAATCCCCAACACGCATCCACGAGACTGCTGTGGCTTCCACCACCCATACAGACCTAGGCGAGATTCGATGTCCAATTCCTGCGGAGTGAGAGCATCGACGTCATTCTCGAGCAATCAGGAGCACGACCAGATCCCAGCATCTTCCGCGATCACTGTGCAGGTGCTCAACCCCATCAACCTCAATCGCGATCAACCACCTCACTTCCCATCCGATCCGCCCACACAACCAGGATCGCCAGACATTCCAAAGCCCCGGCCAGATCCCGTCTGTCGGTACTCTGCATTCGCAACTGGATATGCTCTGACTGCGCATCCGAATGGATGGATGTGCTGTTTGTCGTTGGATCCAGTTCTGCTTCTCGTCTCGTGACTCTCAGCGAAGAATGCCAACAATGAAACTCGAATCTTGTAGACAACCAAAAGAATCCCCTAGTGCTTTGGCACTATAACAGTAGCTAATAATATATCCCTATAACAATCTAAATCATTAATCTCAAAAAGAAATAAAAATTCTCAACATAATTTTATGAATCATTCTAATTTCTACATATCTAATACAAGTAAGAAACAAATGATCTTGATCCTAAACATTTCTCCCATCACATTAGGTTACAAATCCATTCACTACTATCAATTTTCAACCAAGGTATTTCTTCAATTCCAAACTTATGAGATATTGTTCTATACCTAACAATAATATGACGTAAAGGTGTAAAGATCTATTCCACAAGATACACTTCATCACAATAAATAAACATATGATTCACATTAAGTTGATAAAATTGCATTATAATGACTACTCTCCTCCAAATGATGTTGAGAAACTACTCCTTAATCTCTCGCGAAGGGCCATAGGTTGCAGTTCCCAATACACTTCCGTCACATTTCACCTCAAAGACCAAGTTATCACATCTATAAACCATCCCTTGGAACGTGTGACACGCAAAGCATGAAGAGGAAACCGAGAAGTATCAAGAGATCTCACCCTTCTAATATAAGTGATGGTCAAGTAGAGAGCTTAAGCCTCAAGAGGTAGACAATCTGTTTCCGCAAGAAGAATAACATAAGTAGTTTGGTTCCTTACACATAATTCTTCTTGTAAAAAGATCTTTTGCACCCTCTCCACACGCTCCCAACTTGTCTTCTTACTGCCAGGACCCCACACTTGTGTTCTATATAAAACCACCAGTAACACTAAGCTCATAAATAAAAATTTCATAAGACTCCAAGATACTAGATGAGCTCTTCTACATCGGTTTAACAATGAATATAGAGCTTCTAACAATGTAACCAGCTTCTACACTCTTTTGCACACAAAGTGTTCAACTATAATTCTGAAAAAAATCAATGCCTAAATATTTGTAACTCTTCACTTGTTCCAATTCTAGTCCCTTGTAAAATAGAGAGAACTTGTATCTATTGCCCACAAGAATGACCTTTGATTTTTCCAGATTGACCTCCATATGATTTTGAGTACAAAAGCTAGCCAAAGTATCAAGGTGTTTCTGTAAACTAATCGCATCACGTGCTAGTAATATGATATCATCTGCATACAAAAGAGCTTTGATCACAAAGTCTCCAAGTTTGACTCCTTCACTTTCACAATCATCCACCCATCTTTCTATAACATCTATGAAAATTCCGAATAGAGTAGGAGAGAGAGGGCAACCTTGAATAACTTCAATGGAACTCGAGATCTCTTGAGGCTGAGAGGCATCAATCTTAGCTCAAACTGAACTGTATAAAGTAGCCAGAGCTCCGAGTAGATTAGCCGGTACTCCAATTATTTGTAGTCTTTTCCATAAAAGCTTACGAGGAACAATATCAAAAGCTTTCTTTAAATCGATGAAGGCACAAAATAAAGCTTTCCCATTGCCCTTGGATTTCTCCCATAAAACACGTAAGGCCAAAATATGGTCAATAGTGTTGTATGTAGGATGAAAATCAGTTTGAGACTTTGCTCTCTTTTGAAATTCCTCTGTCCATGTGCTCAACTTCGATTCTACCAACTTCCCAAACAACTTGGCAAAAACACTACCAACCATGATAGTGCGATAGTTTGTCACCAAGTTTTTCCTTCCTGATTTATGAATAGGAACAATCTTCCGCATGGACCAAGTTGATGGAAAACCATGAACCATAGCATCTTTCAAAATCTTAGTGAGAACAGGTCTAATACAATCTCTTCCCCACTTGATAAGTTCAATGGACAAGCCATCTAAATCCTCACATTTGCCATTTGCTAATTTTTAGAGAATAGTCATCACCTCAACTTCCAAAAATAATCCAAGTGTTGCTTCGCAATATGGCATAGATGTGGCTTTTGGAAAGAAATAGAGCTTTTCGGCAAAAGCTACCAAAGACTCGGGATCAAGAGAAGGATTTGACGATGGTGTAGCTAATTGTCTCCAAAAGGACTTGAGATACTTCATCAGGTCCTTTGTCAAGGATTCTTGCTTTCGTTTTAAGAAAGCTCGTTTCTTAAACTTCATCAAGTCTTTGTATATCCTTGTCAAAAGAAGCCAACTTTGAATATCCAAAGACCTATCAACTAACCTTGCCCTCGCTAGCTTGCATTCAGAGTCAAACCATCCATTACAAGGTAGTCCTTTAGCAATCCTAGTACTATGCCTTCAAAAGAACTTTGATGCAGAAGTTTTGAGCAATTCTATGAGTTGTAAACTAGCGGTATGCAAATCTGGACTCCATATGGTGTGAGTCAAAAGATCTTGTAGATGTTCTGCATAAAGGTCTCTTTTACAAGGATCTAAGCGAAACTTGGGAGAATCTAAAAGAGATTGGCAAGGTGAAGGAGAGATTGATTTTAACATTGAAAGTGTAAACAAAAGAAGTGCATGATCTGATTCAGGTTGAGGATCTAGAACATCAAAACTAGAGATCAGAGAGGTACTAACCAAGGAAGACAAAAGAAAATCTATTGTGCTAGCACCGATAGGGAAAAAAACAAGTATTGGACTGAGAGTTGGGAAAGTAAGAGGTTCCATTAAGAACCTTCAAGTTACAAGTGGCTCCAAATGTCAAAAAGTGCTCTGTCAAAGAGTTTGTGGAAGATCAAAAGAGGTTCTAGCCCACAAACTATCATAAATTTCTTCAAACATAGAAGAAGTCAAGGGATCAGTAAATTGAGTAAATTGAGCACAACTTATACGAGCATTGAAATTTCCAGCAAGAAAGACATCCCCTTTACTTTAAAATCTAAGAACATCTCCAATAAGCCGATGGAATGGTTCACTTTGGTTGCAAAAGCGTGTTCAGTAGATATCCATGGACAATGGTGCAAAATAATAAATTGCCAAATAACAATAAGATACTCCAACCATACCAAGACGTAGCCAATGATATTGTCCACCAACGTCTTGAGCTTCTAGATGTATGAGAGGTAGAAGATGAGACCTTATGAAAGTAGCAATACCTCCTTGAACCCTTTCCGCATGTTGTCTTCTCTAATTCCATGTTGACCCCACCAAGGTAAACCCTTCCAACTCAGCAATAGTATTGCTTTCATGTTCCCAAGTCTCCACAATATTGATGACGTCAGTTATCTTTCAAATCGGAGCAGCACTCAGATACTTTATTGTTGAAAGTCCTCGGATATTTCACACCAACACCCTTAGCCTCTCGGATTGCTATGTTGACGACACCCTACTTTTCTGAGTAACGATTGCTCTTCCATCGTCTAAATAAGCAACAAAACCCGACTCTTGAGACTCTTTTACCTTCGCAAACTCCTTTCTCCTAACTTCCACTTGTAATGGAGTCAGATCAGTATCCAACCATATTCTATGTCCCTTTAGCATAGCCTTATTAGCTAAGGCAACATCACGTTGAGTTTGATTGACAAACTTCACTATAATACCACGAGGTTGAGCTCCCTTGTTTCCAATACGAAAAGCTTGAGCCAATTCCGGATTGGAAACCTGAAGTGTTTCATCCAAAAACTTGGTGACAACACTCTTGACATCTTCATTCTCTATTTCAGTTGAACTTGAAATTTCTTGTGATTCTTTTAACTCTCGAATTTGATTATGTGCAAGAGTTAAAGCAGTCGCTTTGTGGTAACCCACTTTTGGTATTTTTGCGGAATTTAAAACATTTTTGGAATACTGTACCACGGCAGCGGTGTAAATAGCCATCGGTACATTAAAATAGAGTGAAACTGGATGATCTCGGAGAATCTCGTAGAATCCAGGAGTTGGGCGCAATGTCTGGAACAGGCGCCGCCCTAAACGACGGGCTTTGAAGGAGTATCCCTTCGGCGCAAGGCGCATAATACGCCTTCGGCGCTAGAGGAATTTCTCAGAATCTATGCAATTCCCGAACGCCTTGACTTGGTTAGGGTTTCGTTGAAAAGAACTTGACGCGTTGGTTCTAACGAGCACAAGAACGCTTGGAACGGACCAGGACTCAGGGAGTTGTGACGGTCGAAAGAGTCGAAGACCTGCGCCTACGCATAGGCAAGGGAAGTGCGCCTACGCATAGGCGAATTAGGGTTTGACGTCGGCGGGGAGTCCGCCGAGAATGCCGCCTACGCATAGGCGAGGAGGACTTGCACCTACGCATAGGCGAACGGAGATCGCCTACGCATAGGCGCTTCGGAGTCGGCGGGAAGTCCGCCTTCGGCCCTAGAATTCCGCCTTCGGGGTTGGAACTTGTACGGCACCTTCGGCGCCAGCGCATCACGGTTAGGTGAGGACCTAACGGAGTAGCGAAATCCGTACGGACCGTACGGACGAAACGGACGAGTGCGCCTTCGGCCGGTCGGGATTTCGGAGACAAGAGCGCCGACGGAGAGGCGAGAGAGATGGACAGACTGGATGGAGTCCGTTGACCGCGGTCAACGCCTCCGGCACAGCCGCTTTCGGCGCTGCGCCTACGGCGAGGGACCTGTGCGGACGAACGTCTTGTGTGCGGACGGATTTTGCCTACGCATAGGCGAGCGCCTACGCACAGGCGGTTGGAGTTCGACGCCGGCGGAAACTCCGCCGGGGATTCCACCTACGGAGAAGGGAGTTCGGTTTTTGTACTAAGCGCGGACGAACGCCTTTGGCGGAGCGGGATCATGGCCGCCAAGTTGAAGTACGGAGGAATGTAGCGCGTCGGCAAGAAATCCGCCTTCGGCGGTGCGCGACCATGGCCGCGGCGTGGTACGCCAGCGGAGTTCAAATTGCCAATTCGAGCGTGAGAGTGAAGGCGCGTCGGCGGAGCGTGAAGCCGCGCGTGAGAGAGAAGGCCGTTATACCTCGGAGCCGGCGCAGCCATCAAGTGATTCGGCTTTCACGACCGAGAGCCGACCATGACCCCCTGCGAGCGGACAGAGG